TCCTCATTTCTGAAAGTGGGAAACAACAGTATTTATAGCACATGATTGTTGGGATTATTTCCTGGAGAATTACATGCCATCCTCTAGTCATTCTCCCAACAGTGCTTCAAACCTTTCACATTGGAAGACCAGGAAATGACTCCTGACCATCCATATTCTCTTGAATTGATTCAGAGGCCTTCAGGTGTTCAATTCCTCCAGGAACAAGAACCTCACCTGCGGGGAGCCAGCCTGACTGCTCAGGCTCCTTCTTGGCTCTGAGAGAGATCAAGAGGTCCCTCTCTGTCCCGCCACCCCTGATTTATTAAAGCACAGGTTGGCCTTTCTCACCTCCATCAAGGAAATTGCTGTAGTGATCTTTCACCTGTTCACCTGTTGCTGATAAACTCGTCATGATTGAAGCCTGTTTTCTATCCAGTTAATGTTCTATTGATTTCAGTTGGGTGCTAGGGTGATGCTTTACTGATCTTAAGTGGAGGAATTTAAAACACCTGTGCCTGTAGCTCTGCACATGTGCAAACCTTTGATCTATTAGCAACTCCTGTTAGCATATATATAGGTGTGGTATTCTTCAATAAAGTTGGCAGAGTCAGACGCAAGCAGACTCTGTCCCTCTCAANCCACTAAAAAAAAATCTCTCCGGTTACGGTATGTAATTCTTTTTACACATTGCTGAATTTTATTTGCGAATATTGTTTTAATGATATTTATATTTATTTTCATGAGGTGTGTGTATGCTCAGTTGCATTCAATTCTTTGACTGTAGTCTGCCAGGCTCCATTTTCATGACGTTGGTTCTAAAAATTTCAGATGTTTTAGAATGTTCTTTACATTCTCTGTTCTCTAAAGAGTGCTATATTTGGTATGCAGTTCTCAAATGTCAATGAGTTTATCTTATCATATGCCTGATAATCACCTTGACTCCTTCTTCCACTGGTTGCTCCTATTTTTGTCATTTAGGTTGGAGTTGTATTTCTTGTCCTAATTAGTACAGTTTCCTTGTATGTCCTGTGTGCTCATCCTTTGGCAGTTTTAGAAACTGGAGATATAGTCTTTTGCTCTTTAAATTCTAAGTGTCATGAACTTTATGGAATAGAAGCCTGCAATTCTAAAAGAAATTACTCATCAATTTTCCACACGAAATATTTTGTTTCTTGGTGATACTTTAAATTGTTCTTGGGACTTCCCCAGCAGTCCAGTGGTTAAGACATCACACTTCCAAAGCAGGGGGCATGGGTTTGATCTCTGGTCAGGGAACTACGTCTCACATGCCGTGTGGTACAGTCAAAAAAAAGTTAAAAAGAATTATTCTTGCCCGTTTAAAAAAAGCTATGCTCCTAATTTATCTTCTATTGGTTTCCTTATTTCTTTTGCTTCCCTGGTGGTTCAGGTGGTAAAGACTCCATCTCAATGCAGGAGACCTGGGTCCGGTCCCTGGGTCTAGAAGATTCCCTGGAGAAGGAAACGGCAACCCACTCCAGTATTCTTGCCCGGAGAATCCCATGGACAGAGGAGCCTAGTGGACTGGGGCAGTCTATGGGGTTGCAAACAGTCAGACACAACTGAGCGACTAACACACAATTTCTTTTACTCTTTGATACATAATAGTTCTTATTTTAAAACTTACTGAAATTTACTTTATGCCCCCAGAGTTTGATTTATCTTGGAGGAAGGTACTATGTGTACCTGAAAAGAATGTGTATTCTGCTGCAGACTGAAGTAATGTCTAATACATATTTACTGAATAAAAATAGCTGATGATACTGGTCATGTCTTCTGTATCCTTATTATTTTCCTGCCTATTCTATTAATTATTGAGAGTAAAGAATTTTGAAAGCCTATTCTTAGGTACAAATATACTTTGCATTTATTTATTTATGGCCATTCGGCTTGCAGGATCTTAATTTGACCAGAGATCAAACCTGTGACCCTTGCAGTAAAAGCACAGAATTCTAACCACTGGAGTACCAGCAATCCCCCAGTTAGCATCTTTAAATCTTCTTGATTAAATTACTTGTTTAATATTATAAAATGGCCATGTGTTTTCTTTGGTCATATTATTTTTCCTTAAGTTTTTCTTATATTAAAATAACCTCTCCAACACTCTTTTAGTTAGTATTCACATATTATTTCATTCCATTCCTTTTCACTTAAATTTATGTAAGGATTACTTATTATAGGCTCCCCAAGAATTTAATTGTCTGAAAAAAATTTTCCCTATAATTTAAATATACAAGAGTATTTAAAGCAAAAAACTGAAAAATAATTGTAGGAACAAAAGTATAACTTATTCATTCACATACATCTTCTTAGAAATAGATAAATCAAAGAATAAGCATATAGATGATATTAGTAATATAACATTCAAAAGATACACATTTATCTTGATTTTACACTGTTGAACATTTGAAAAATCACATTCACTAAGGTAAAAATGAAGCCACAATATAGAAAGGTTTCTGAATTCTCTATGACTATATCCATATTTGTTTACTACAGCAGTGCAGTAGTAAGATTTATAACAAGAAATACATATTTGGTCTTTGTCCAGGTTTCCAGCACAGAACTCATAAAACCTTAGGTCTTTCCTAAGGGAGAAGCCAAATTAAAAACAACACTCATTTGTGGATATGGGCCACTCTGCAGAGCAAAAGGTTATTAATTTACTTTTCTTGACTAGCAAAGACAAGTTATAGGCCCTGGCCCTGAAATCCGAAAAGTGGTCAGTCATGAGGGAAAGTGGAGTAGATTCCCCCTGACCCATGGTCAAAGAATAAATGGTAGGGAAGAGAGAGGGAGAGAGGAAGTCACTGAGAACGACCACCAAAAATCCTACTGGGAGTGGTGGCGGCCAAGAGGTTGGGCTTACGGTATGCTTTTGGAACTGTTTATATGCCTGCGTCGTTGCATGGAAGTTTTCTTGCTGGGGGCGGGCACCCTAGGGGTTTCTAGCCCATTCCGTGACCCCCTTATCCTCTCACAGGAGTCTTCAAGTGGCAGGTGCCCTAATGGCCTTTAAGTGCCTGACCCGTGCCCACACAAAGAATTTTAGGCCACATCGTCAGTTAAGGATGTTAAAGGAGAGTTTAGGCTCACTTATTGTAGGGCCTTCAGAGTCCGCCAGGGTGTAGAAGGAGAATAAGTCAGAAGAGAGAGAAGAGAATGATGCACCAGAAGAGAATGAGACCAGAGACAATGCCGGCACACACACAAACACGGAGAGCTGAAGACAAACACACGGACAGACAAACGTCAGCTGACAACACAGCGCTGGGTTTTCAGGCCCCCTGAGTTTTCTTGCCTCCTGGTACTAGGTTCACCTTACCGAATGGCATCCACTGCTCACCAGACTCGGGCTCGGGAGAGGAACTCTCCTTCCCGCAGAGCCGGCTGCCGACCAGAGACAATGCCGGCACACACACAAACACGGAGAGCTGAAGACAAACACACGGACAGACAAACGTCGGCTGACAACACAGCGCTGGGTTTTCAGGCCCCCTGAGTTTTCTTGCCTCCTGGTACTAGGTTCACCTTACCGAATGGCGTCCACTGCTCACCAGACTCGGGCTCGGGAGAGGAACTCTCCTTCCCGCAGAGCCGGCTGCCTTCCAGCGCGCTCGCTGGCCTCTGTCTTGCGCCAGCTGGAACGTCCAGTCCGTCCCCAACCCTCTATAGAAAGCTTTCTCCTGTGCCAGATACCTTTCCACTTCACAGCAGGGCCTCGGATTTACACTGGACTTTCCTGTCCTGCCTGAGCACGGGTGCTATTATCTATCCTTCCCCTCTGTCCTGGAAGTCTTCTCTTCCCCTGGTCAAGGGATCCCGGACGAGCCCCCAAATGTTATGCCCGATGTCCGAATCCCTGAGCGCGAAGAGAGAAAGCCTCCAAGACAATGCAACTCACAAAAAGGGAAGTTTATTGCTGACTCGAGTCAGGGCTCCTGCCGCATCCAACACAGTGGAGCGGGGTCAGAGAGCCCCGAGCCCAAGCTGTTACACAAATTTATAGGGTGAGCACACGCCATTGGTAGTTGGTTTAAGCGGATTGGTCAAAGCTTTCGCGCGTGCGGGACTTTCCTGGGGGTTTCTGCCCCGTTCCTAATTGGCAAACAGTGGTCAGTGTTAAGCTGATTGGTTGTATCCAGGTGGCCTGATAATCTTACCACCCAGAAGTAGGAAGGCCTACTCCTAATCTAAACTGCCAGCCATGGCGTTACTTCTGCTTGCCTCACATTCCCCCCTGTCTGTTGTTCAATTAGAGGAATCTTCCTCTTTTCCATCTTGGGCCACTGGCTGATATTGTCGTCTCAACACCATAATCTGAATGGTGTTGAGGCGTTTTTTTAATAGCACTATAAGTGGACCCAGGAGGGTGGAAATTAGGGTGGTCAGCCAGGGGGAGCGTTGAAACCAAGACTCAAACCATCTCTGCTGGGAGGACTCGCCTTCCATTCTGCCCGCGCTTTTTCTTGTTCTTCCGGTGTGGCGTGCCGCACGTGGTTGCAGTGAACCCAGGGTCCAATCCCGTCGACCTTGACAGCGGTATGAGTGGTAAGGAGAACAACATAAGGGCCTTTGCATCTAGGTTCTAATGCTTCAGATTGGTGCCGTTTCNCAGTCCATGGGGTCGCTGAGAGTCAGACACCATTGAGCGACTGAACTGAACTGATGCTCTGATAGTCAAGACTGTCAACACCTTTTCCCAGTAGCCTCTAGAGCGCTAGAAACTACATTACCCAGAAGGTTGTGTGCCGTGTTGAGCCAATGACAGGACAACATAAAGGCATTTCTGTGCCTGTGGTTTTCCTCGGGGCGGAACTTCCGGCGTCCTCCTCCTGGCGGCCATTTATATTGCTTTTCTGTGTGTTGTCGCTCGGGAACGCTACGTTGGGAGTGAGGTGACGGGATTGAGAAGGTCCAAGAGGCAGCGCAAAGAGGCGGGTCTCAAGTTCGGCGACGCCGTCTGGGGTCCCCCGCGCCAGGCCCCAAATCGCGCCCGCTGTGCCCGCTTCCCGCCTCCTCTCCCGCCGGCTCTGGCCTCAGAGTCCGATGGCGGCGGCGGCGGCGCTGAGGGATCAGCCTCAGGTAAACTCAGGTCACCTGGGCCCTTACCATTCTCACCCCACCAGACACTAAAGCCCGAAGTGCGTGACGCCTGCTCACGTGCCTGAAGCCCGGCCCTGTGGTCCAGGCCGGTGAGGCGGTCGTGGGTGGGGCCCTGTGTCTGACAGTGTGATGGAGCCGGGGAGAGGGTGACAGGCGGAGGAACCTGCCTGTACAAAGGCTTAGAGGTCGGATATAGGCGAGAAGGTCCAGGAAAACTGGCGTGGATCTGGTGTCTGCAGGGAACAGAGTGTGACAGAGTGATCTTGATCTAGGGTGGATCTACCTTCGGTGAACTGAAGGGGGTGCCTGGGTGGGTAGGCTTCGGTTCCTGGCCAGAGATTGAGGGATTGAGGCAGGTTGGTGGTGGTGTGAACACCGAATCCTAGTCACTAGACCAGTGGTCAGTGACAAGGCCCTAGCCCTTCAGTTTTGCAGGAAAAAAATTCCCACAAAGAGGGGAAGCCGTGAAACAGAGTATTCATTAGGAGGAGAAAAGAGTACAGTATCTTTTGGACTGTACACCAGCGGACTCGGGGAGAGGCGTGCTGTGGTGGTTTTAGTCGCTTTTGTGGGGCATTTATTTCTGGTTTTCTTTGGCCAGTCATCTTGCTTTGCCTGGGTTTGAGTCAGTATTTGGTGTATCTCAGGATTTTCCTGCGTGTAAGCGCATCTTTTAGCCAAGATGAATTCCAGTGAAAAGGCTTATTGGGTAGTTGACATCAGCTACTATGAGGTGACGCCCCTTCCTTTTCCAAGGAGGTTTTCTGTGCTGACTTCCAAGGAGCCTTTCTGTGCATGTGTTGTGGGAAGGTCTCCTTAACTTCAAGAATGGAAAATATATGGTTTCTTATGTTTTATGTGGGCAGGGCCCAGCTTCCATCATCCTGCCCCAGACCTACTCAAACGTGAGAATCATTTGTGCTGTCTAGAACAGACACCATGTGGACCAGGATTCCAAAGAAGGTTGAGGGAGGGAAGAGTTTTGGCTGCTGAGGGGACAGGGAGTGCAACACAAAAGGGGAAGTGGGTCTTGGGCATCTGTAATCACATGTGCTTCTGGGTGGCTCAAATTGAAGCAAGAATCAATAAAGGTATAAAAGGGGCCTTCAAAGCAACTTTCCACAAGTGCAGTTGTGGGAGTGCAGCTGTGGGGACTAAAGGTGTGAGAAAGGTACAGTCTACAGAATCATGGGTACATGGAGAGGAAGTACTAGCTCATGACCCCAGCATCCTGTTATTGGGGACTGAAGGGTGAAACTTGAGCCCAGGGTTGGTTGTGTCTGTGAGTCACAACCTAGAGACTCCAGGGGAGTTGATTGACAGAATGGATGGGACCCTACAGGCCAGGACGAAAGCTTGGAAAGCAGTCCATCCCAATGTTGCTGAGGACTGAACACAGTGAATAAAGGGACCCTGAAGAATAAGGTGGGCATCAGTGACACCTAGGTCTGGAATTCCTGTTCGATGGAGAGCTTTGGAAGAGGATGAGGGTGGAATAGATGTGTGATGAGATGGATTGTGGGATCCTAGAATGTTCATAGTTTACTCTGTCTCTCATAGAAGTGCAGTGTGACCTTTGAGGATGTGGCTGTGTACTTCTCCTGGGAGGAATGGAGACTCCTTGATGAGGCCCAGAGAAGCGTGTACCTCGATGTGATGCTGGAGAACTATGCACTTATATCCTCGCTGGGTAAGACGCTCACAGCCTTCCCAGTGACCTGGACTAGGCTCTGTCCCATCTCACCCTCCTTTCCCCAGGGGGTGCTCTGTTCTTCTACATGTGGACTGTGAACACTGCTTGTTTCCCAAGCTTTCTGAGTTGCCGGGGTCCAGCCTCAGCAGGATCCAGGGGATACCTTCAGGATGAACAGCATCGGCGAGAGAGAGAAGACATGTGAGACCAGCCTTGATAGGCCCAAGTCTGCGAGGGAGAGAGAGAGAGTGACCAGATGGGGGGTGCAGCAGAGTCTGGCAGAGTCTGGCAATGCTTTATTTTTCACCGTGGCTTTTATACCCTAAATTAGTACATTTCTAAGGGGAAGATAGTTTAACATTACATCAGCTTGTTCTTCACGAAACCAGGGTGTTTTCTGCATACTTCTTTGTTTATGAGGGTCTTGTACATTATCTTCTGGCCTTGGGGCCTATTAACATTTTATGCAGGTCAGGTGAATGTAAACCTATTTTCTGTTTCTATGGTGACCTTAACTGAAAGGTAGCAGTCTCATAGGGCAACAGTACAGAGTAGAAGTATAACCTTGTTAACACAAAAATTAATCCTTCTGCAGAAGTTGTCAGTTGCGTTTATCTAAGAAGTTTACCCCACACTGACTCTGCGACTTTGGTGAGGCAGCTTTTGCCTAGCACTCCTGGCTGACAATTAACAACCATCTCATTGTTACCACACTAGGGCTAAGCTCTTATTTCTCTAGATCTTTAACTATATTAACAATGGTTTCTATAACACAACCTTAGCACATTAAGAGTAAAAACACAGCAAGCAAATGTTAACCCAATAACCACTTTTAGAATAATTTTTCTTATGTTTTCTAATAGGAGTCCTTCACCCCTCATAAAGGCTCTATGTCTATTAGGGCCTTTATATGATCAGGTTCTTTATATGCTGTTTTATGATTAGGGTATTATGAGCAGTCATGCATATTAGTACCAAGGGCATAAATGCATTTGCCAAACAAACTAAAATACCAGCAAAGGAGTTTAAATTAAAACATTCCTTTCACCCTGGATAATCTCATAAAATACCACCACCCGGGAAACTTATTGATTAAAGTTCTAAATTGATTATTATTTGGGAAGAGATCTGGGAAGGCCTTCTGCCTGTGTCACAGAAATTAGGGAGTAGTCTATTGAGGCAGGGATCAGAAAGACAGATATCATCTTTAAGGTGGGTGCCGGGGGCAGCTTTTCGAAATCCCTGAAAACCCAATCTGTCTTGCCTGTCAGGCTTTCTCCTCGTGACCTTGTCATGGGTGGGATCTTGTGAGCTGGCCTTTTCGAAACCCCTGAAAACCTGATCCGCCTTGCCTGTCAGGTTTTCTCCCTCATGACCTTGTCATGGGTAGGGTCTCGTGTGTTGGCTCCCGGCACTGAGTTGCTGTGATAGCTAGCTAGGACTGGGTTGTTTTCACTGCCTTCTTTCCCCTGCAGTACCAACCCCAATACCTGCTGTATAGAATTCTGTTAGGAAAAGGATTCCAGGTCAGTAGTATTACAGTAAGTTTAATGGATTCTACCTTACTTGCCCTTTGTCTATCCGGGTCAGTGTGTCTAGATCCTTTTCAACTCTGTGTCCCTTCTTTTATGCTGAGTTGTTCAGCTTGTGGGATCTTAGTTTACTGAGCAGGGACTAAATCAGGGCCCTGGCAGTGAAAGCTTGGGGTCCTGGTCACTGGACTGCTAGGGAACTCACTTGATCCCTTCTTTTTAGCTAGCATTTATTTGTGCCTGCTTGTGCTGAACCATGAGCTACTTTTCAGTGTCCTCCAAGGTCGGTAGTGTTTAGATTTGCTTTCTCTTTTTTCCCCAGTTTTGTCCAGATATAAAATTGTATATCTTGATGTGTAAAAGTTTTGACTTGATGTGTGAATACAGTATGAAATAATTGTCACAGTGAAATTAGTTAAACATCTATCACCTCATTAAGTTACATTATTGTTGTTACCATTGTTATACATCATTTTTTGTTAATATTTATTTAGGCTGTTCCAGGTCTTAGTTGTGGCACTCAGGATCTTTGATCTTTGTTACAGCATGCAGGCTCTTTCTTTGTGTCATGTGGGATCTAATTCACTGACCAGGGATTGAACCCAGGCCTCCTGCTTTGGGATGGCAGAGTCTCACTGGACCACCAGGGAAGTCCCGGCATCATTGTTAACTATAGTCACCATGCTTTATGTTACATCCTCAGAACTTGTTAATCTTATAACTGAACATTTATACCTTTTGACTAACAATCTCCCTATTTTCCATACTCCTCAGCTCCTAGCATTTTACTCTCTGTTTCTATGATTTTCCTTTATTTAGTTTTTAAAAATTACAACCATAGTGGAGAAAGATTGTTTTCTTTAAATCTATGCCCTCACCAATACTTCTTATCCCTGCTCTTTATTTCCTTTTCTTTTTTTTCCCCCTGCCCTATTTTGATAGTAGCCATCTCATCAGGTAGACTTCCCTATAGTTCAGATGGTAAAGAATTGCATTGCAGTGCAGCTTGATCCCCGGGTCAGGAAGATCCCTTGGAGAAGGGAATGGCAATCCACTCCAGGATTCTTGCCTGGAGAATCCCATGGACAGAGCAACCTGGCAGGCTACAGTTCATAGAGTCACAAAGAGCTGAACACGACAGAGCAATCTACTACATCTTACCAGATGTGAGGTGTTACCTCATTGTGGTTTTGATTTGCATTTTCTTGTTGGTTAGTGAGATAGTTAGTGAGGAGGAATATTTTTTCATGTACCTTTTAGCCATTTGTAGATCTTCTTTGATAAAATGTCTATTCAAGTCCTTTGCTCCCTTAAAAAAATTTTTTTTAATCTTATTTATTTTTAACTTGTGTGTATGCTTAGTCACTCAGTTGTGTCCGACTCTCTGAGACCCCATGGGCTATAAGCCTGCCAGGCTCCTCTGTCCATGGGATTCTCCAGGCAAGAATACTGGAGTGGGTTGCCACTTTCTTCTCCAGGGAATCTTCCCAACCCAGGGATTGAAACCAGTCTCCTGCACTGCAGGCAGGTTCTTTACCATCTGAGCTACCACAGAATCCTATTTTTAGCTTGATTTTAGTTAACTTATTTAGTTTTGGCTGCCCCGGCTCGGTGTTGCTGCATGCAGGCAAATGGAGGCTACTCTCTGGTTGCAGTGCACAGGTTCTCAGTAGTGGCTTCTCTTCTTTCGGCTCCTGGGCTCTCGAGCACAGGCTCATTAGTTGCGGGCTCATGGGCCTTGTTGCCTCCAGGCTTGTGGAATCTTCCTGGACCAAGGATTGAGCCCGTATCTCCTGTAATTGGTAGGCGGATTCTTAACCACTGGACCACCAGGGAAGTTCCTTTGCTCACTTTTTAAACAGATTGTTCTTTTCCTGTTGAATTGTACAGTACCTTATATTATTGAGTACTTTAGATATTAAAATATAAATTTCACCAATGAAATCTATCTGATCTAATGGCCTATTTTTTTTTGTTGAAGATTACTGATTCAATTTCCTTATTGGTATTGGTCTATTAAATTTTTCTATTTATGGTTAAGAATTGATAGGTTGTATGTTTCTAGGAATTTATCTGTTTCTTCTAGGTTATCTAATCTGTTGGTGTGTAACAGCTCCTAGTAATCTTTTATGATTCTTTTGTTCTGTTTTATTTCTCTGTTAATTTATATGGGATAAAGTCTAGACAAAGGTTTGTCAATTTGATTTATCTTTTTATTTATTTATTTAATTTTGGCTCTGCTGGGTCTTTGTTGCAGCGAGGGCTTTTCTCTAGTAGTGGAGAGTAAGGACTACACCCTAGTTGAGGTGTTTGGGCTTCTCATTGTGGTGGCTTATCTTGTGGACCACAGGCTCTAGGGCACAAGGTCTTTAGTAGTTGTAGCACGTGGGTTTAGCTGTTGCATGGCATGTGGGATCTACCTGGATCAGAGATTGAACCCATGTCTTCTGCATTGACAGGTAAATTCTTTACCACTAAGCCACTAGAGAAGCCCCTATCTTTGAACAAACCCAGCTCTTAAGTGTTGTTAATCTTTTTATTATCTTTATAGTTTCTATTTCATTTATTTCTGCTCTGATTTTTTTTTTTTGGCCATGCTGTGCAGCACGTGGGAACCTTAGCCTTAATTCCCCTTCTAGGGAAGGAACCTGTACACCCTGCATTGGAACCATGAAATCCTAACCATTGCATCTGTAAGGAATTCCCCTTTGCTATCTTCGTTTCATTTGTTTCGATAACTTTAGTATTAGTTTTCTTTTTCTAGTTCCTGGAGGTGTAAGTTTGGTTATTTATTTGAGATCTTTCTTTTTTCTTAATGGTGGCATTTATTGCTCTAAACTTTTCTCTTAAAACTGCCTTTGCACATTTCATATGTTTTGCTTATATTTTTGTTTTTTTTCAAGGTATGTTTCATTTTCCTTTTGATTTTTCTTTTTACTGATTGATTGGCCAGGAGCATATTGTTTAATGTTCATGTATCTGAATTTTGAAGCTTTCCTCCTATTGCCGATTTCTAGTGTTATCCATTGTGTTAGGAAAAGTTAATTCATATGGTTTCAGTCTTCTGATATTTGTTAAGACTTGTTTGATGTAATATATAATCTATCCTAGAGAATATTCTATATGTACTTGAGAAGAGAGTGTATTCTGCTATAATAGGATGGAATGTTCTATACACATCTGTTACATCCATTTGGACTGAAGTATTCAATTCAAATAACCTTCTATTTGGATATCCACCTATGTTGAAAGGGGGATATTGCAGTTCCCTGTAAATATCCTGTGGCTGATACTTCCCTGGTGGCCCAGTGGTTAAGATTCTATGCTTCCATTGCAGGGAGCACAGTTCGGTCCCTTGTTGGAGAACTAGGATCCTGCCTGCCATGAAGCATCCCGCCCCTTCCCCCCCACTCCAATTTTCTCTTCCTGTCATTTCTGCCTTCAGATCTGGTCATATTTGCTTAA